CCAGTACTCGGACCTGGACGTGCTTGCAGCTGCCCGTCGGCTTCCAATCGCGCTGGTTTTTCGAAGGCGCAGGGCTGGCGTGTTTCAGCGAGCTTTTCGCGAACGCCCCCGCTGCGCTCTTCTTTTTGGTGTGATCATGTAACGGGGCAGCATGGATCGTGGTCTGATACGGTGTCAGAAGATTTCGTGTGGCCTAGCAAGTTTGATGACGATCCATCTATTAGGGCAGCTTGGACCTTGAGGCGTTGGTTCGAGTTTGCACAGGCTGATGGTCCTAAACTTCGGCGTGAGATACAGGCGGCGTGGGGCAAGTTCTTGATCGCGGAGCTCGAGCAGATGCAGCACCAGGCATGGGGGAGTACCTTGCAATCGTGGACGGGGAATGCACGCGTGCCTGACGTGGAGGTCACGCGCTATGTGTGTTACGAATGTGGGGCCGACTTCGGGCTGAAGGGCTCATGGCGACACCATGCCACAATGCGCAGTCCGATTGGCGCCGCTCAGTCGCTGGCTCGAGGCAGTCAGTGCGGAGCGTGCGGGACGCTGTCCGGCGACCGTTCTAATATTTTACATCATCTCAGACGCCCAGGGAATACTTGTCTCAACTGGTTGATGGAGAATGATAGACCGCCGAAGACAGATGAGGCTGAGGCGCTTCGACAGGACGTCCTCCAACGAGAGCGGCGCCTGATGAACGCAGGCTACAACTACCGCCAAGCGACCAAGCATGCTCAACGAGAATAACATTTGGGAAATCGAGGAGAACCTTACCACCCTCCTTTCCCTTCCGCAGTTCGTCTGACTCTTGAACCGACGCAGCCGTCGTCGTTTACGAAGGGAGTTGGGTTACCCGGCGATCCCACCTTCTACCACATGGGTGCGTCAGCTTCTCATCCTCGAGACTTTGGTAGTTGAATTCAGCAGCGACGCAGGGAACGTATTATTATAAGACTGCAGTCGGGTGGCGTGATGGACAGATTTGGTAGCAGCGCGAAGTTCTTTGATTTGACCGACGGTATGTATACTGGAAAGGTATTGCCAGTTACTCTGAAACTTCGGCTTCCTACCTGGCACCCACACTGCTTTAGTGGTGTGGGCGATGTGTCCAGCATGATACTTCGTGGCGCTGACCATCCCGTTGGAAGAATTACAGCTGTCGTCTGAGAAGCGAGGCAGGTTCAAACGTGATAATGATATGTTGTATGTTCTTTGAGAGATATTTGAGATGTCTGGCCTCCTTGGAGTGCCCTGTGTTTTTTTTCAGTGCGAGAATGATGTGTTCACTCAGCTTGTTTCCTGTCCCGACCGTGTGCGGTCATGCACGCGGCCTGTTCGGTCGGTGCATACTACCGCGTTGGGTGGCAAGGACATCTCTCTGGTATGCATAGAATGGCACACCCAGCTTTGCAGCGAGGCTGAGAGTCTTGCAGAGGGTAGCCGCTTGGTTGCCCGCCGACCTGGACCAGGCTCAGTCGGCGCAGCTGCCTGCTGGCCGCTGGCCATGAATCGCGTGCTGGCGAGGGCCATCATGTACGGATCGGACCCCTGGTAAGGGAGGGAGGAGTGGTTCAGTGGGGGGACTTGGTGCGGGGGGGCTGGGTGCGCTGTTCTGGGTGGTGGGGGGCTGGAGGCACAGGAGGGTTCAGGTGGGCGAAATACTCCGCTAGTACCTCCCAGCCGCCCCACACCCAAGAGATTAGGCAGCGCGCTCGCCTCATACCTCCCTACACAATCATGCTACTCCCCCTCATCTCCGTTCTCTGTCTCTGCTTGCTGGCTCGAGCTCGACCTCAAGCCTCAGATGTTCGTTTTCCACATTCCCAATGTTCTCGTGCTTACCATGGTTCGTTCCAGGGGCAGGTCGGGCTCGGGCACTTGCCCGACCTTAACAATGATGCGCCACGGTCCCCGCGGATGAGGGAACGTGGTCTGCTGCCCTGGGGTGTGGGGTGGCTGGGGGGCACAGGAGGGTGTAGGTGGGTGACATATCCCGCTAGTGCCTCCCAGCCGCCACCGCCCCAGGGGTCACAGGCAGCCTGTCCCGCCAGTTCTCTCTCGACAGCGCCAGCTTCGATGGCGCCGTCTACTCCCCGTTTGACTCCTTCTTTTAATTATGTTTTACTTCATTCCCGTTCCCTTCCTCATCCTCGAGCGGGGTGTCTGACGCTGTCTTGGCCACGCCTTCGTGGCGCCTGTGCTGCAGCCTCTGCGACGGGGAGGCTCTGTCTTGCCTGCCTGCAGATGCAGGCCCTGCTTACGCTTCGGGTGCGTGCGCCCAGTGGCTTGCCGAACAAAGGTGAGAAGGACGGGTGTGTGCGCCCAGTGGCCTGCCGAAGAAATGGGAGAAGGAGGAAGAGGAGGAGCGGTGAGAGGGAGCACAAACGACGAGGAGGACCACGCACGATAACGAGGAATTGGAGCGTGGAGGAAGAGGTAGAGGAGGTGCGACGGGTGAAGAGGAGCAGTGAGGGGGAGCAGCGACGAGGCGAGGCGAAGAAGATGAGTCGGGGAGGGGGAGGTGGCAAAGGAGAACGAGCGTGGGCCTGACAGCAGGGTACAGCAGTACACCGGCAGCAAGCGAACTCGCTCAGCAGCAAGCAGCGCCGTGCGGCGTCAAGCAGCCGCGATCAGAGCGCAACCTGCAACATTAGCAACAATGGGATCAAGCAGCAGTGCTTCCCGTGGAGCCGGAGATGTGTTTGCAAGTGCCCCCCCCCCCAGCACCCACATATTTTCAGGCAGTGACTCAAGGGCGCAAGCGCAACATTTTATGGCCGAGGGGAATCGCGCTCGTTCTTAGGATCTTTGAATCCTACCCCCTGAGAAGCTGAGCGGCTCTGAGTTCTGAGAGCGGGTGGCAAAACAGTCTCGGTCGACACGCTGCTGAGCTACCAAGGTCTGTGCAGCATTGCGAATCGCCCCGTCGCGCCGGCGAAGGCTACAGGTAGGCACAGCCAACACGAAATAGGTCCGCCAGCAGGTGCCCCCACGGCAGCTTCTTCTCCCCCGAGGGTGCTGGGGACCCGCACGAGCTCTGGGGCGCTTCAGCTCTGTGCCCCACCGCTTCTCAGGGCAAGATTCTCATTCCCAACCATCCTGTGGTTTTGGGTCCTCGTTTTGCAGAGACAGCTCCCCGCGTCCTCTCCTCATCTCCTCTCCCTCTTCCCCTCCTCCCTCCTCCCATTCCTGCCTCTGCTCTAAGCGTGCCGCCGTCAATGTCAGCATCATCATCATTATCGTCATCACCACCGCCGCCGTCATCATCCACATCATCATCACCAGCATCATCATCATCATCATCATCATCATCATCATCATCATCATCATCATCATTATCATTATCATGACCATCATCGTCATCATCATAACCATTATTACCATCGTCATCATCATCATCATCATCACCATCACCATCATCGTCATCATCATCATTATTATTATTATCATCATCATCATCATCATCATCATCATCATCATCATCATCATTATCACCATCACCATCACCAAGGCCAGCATCGTGAAACACCCTTCACCTCCCACTCCTCTCTCCTCCCATCCCTGCATCTGCCGTCCGCATGTCTCTGCTTTGGCACACTTCTCGCACGCTTCGTGGCCCCATAGGGAGCTCCAAGCAAGGCCTCATTATCATCGCGATTGTTACTACGTGCCTCTGCTCTCCGCATGTGCACCATTTTGGCACTCCCCTTTCACGGTTCGTGGCCCCATAGGTAGCTCCACCGAAGGCCCCAGTGGAAGGGTCCGCATGCGCCCGACTCCCATGTTGAGACACCACTCACACGGTTCGTGGCCCCATGGGGAGCTCCACTGAATGCCCGAGTGGCAGGGTCCGCATGCGCCCGATGCCAATTTGGGCGCACCTCTCATACGGTTCGTGGCCCCATAAGCTCCACTGAAGGCCCCAGAGGCAGGGTCCGCATGCGCCCGACGCCAATTTTGGCGCTCCCCTCACACGGTTCGAGGCCCCATAGGGAGCTCCACCGAAGGCCGCAGTGGGAGGGTCCGCATGCGCCCGACGTCCATTTTTGCACACCCCTCACACGGTTCGAGGCCTCTTAGGGAGCTCCACCGAAGGCTGCAGTGGCAGGGTTCGCATGCGCCCGACGACCAATTTGGCACACTCACACGGTTCGTGGCCCCGTAGGGAGCTCCACCAGAGGCCCCAGTGGCAGGGTCCGCATGTTCTGCCTCATCCACGCCGCAGTCCTGTTGCTGGCCCCCCCTTCTTCGTCGCAGCTGCCTCGCGATATTGCGAGCTGCGTACGGTTGGGTCCTTCGTCAGTTTCTGTGCGCTGCTCTGTTGCTGAAGCCACATCCTTGAAGACTGGTGCCCCACGAAAGAGGGACCGGTAGATTCAAAGTTTATCCGAACGGCTTGTATCGTGATATACTGGTTGAGTCTCTGTCTGTGGGGGGGGGGAGACGAGTCATCGGGGTGTCGAGATCCATGCGGACCTGCTGCTGCGATTTCGGTCTCGATTCGTCGTGGGCGGCTGCAGGAGGGGCGGGCCTTTTTTACGCGTGCGCGGTGGCTTTACATCACGGGGCGGTCGCTGTTCTCGCGACCTTCGTCGGGGGCTGCAGGAATGCTCATGGGTGAAGCCTTCTGGCAGCACAGTCAAGACACTGGAATAAGGACCACTTTGGGCTCAGGAGGGGCTCGGGTTTCGGGGCCGTTCCTAGACTTCTGTCGTGAAACCTGCTTGTTGCCTAGGCCCGCCGTGGCCAGAAAAGCCACTTCGTTCCTTATTGTGAGTTCCTTGTGGTAGCACAGCGACTGTAGCCAAAGAAACGTGCCTCGTTGAACTTCTGCCCAGCCCGTGGAGACATGGGACGGGCTGTCTGCCGTTGCCTCTGCTCGCTCTTGGCCCCGACTGCTCGGTCGCCGCTCAACAGTCGCACTCTTGACTCCTCCCCCTCCTCCTCCTCCTCCTCCTCCTCCTCCTCCTCCTCCTCCTCCTCCTCCTCCTCTGGCTCCCGAGGCGTCGATGCAGCTTCGTGATCGCTGCGAAGTGCCCTCGGCGCGTGCTGCGGCGCAGGCCGCTGGCCGAGAGAGAGAGAGGGGCGATGGGGTGGGCGGACTCTGATGGGCCTGTTTTCCACCACCACCACCATAAGTTGGAGGGGGGGAGGAGGAGGAGGAGGAGGAGGAGGAGGAGGAGGAGGAGGAGGAGGAGGAGGAGGAGGAGGAGGAGGAGGAGGAGGAGGAGGAGGAGGAGGAGGAGGAGGAGGAGGAGGAGGAGGAGGAGGAGGAGGAGGAGGAGGAGGAGGAGGAGGAGGAGGAGGAGGAGAGGAGGAGGAGGAGGAGGGAGAGGAGGAGGAGGAGGAGAGGAGGAGGAGGAGGGGAGGAGGAGGGAGGAGAGGAGGAGGAGGAGGAGGCGGAGGAGGAGGGAGGGAGGAGGAGAGGAGGAGGAGGGAGGAGGAGGAGGGAGGAGGAGGAGGAGGAGGAGGAGAGGAGGAGGAGGGAGGAGGAGGAGGAGGAGGAGGAGGAGGAGGAGGAGGAGAGGAGGGGGAGGGGGAGGGAGGAGGAGGAGTGGGCCAGGCCGGCTGCCACGGGCCCGCCGGGCCATCGGAGCCAGAGTGTGCCGCCTGGATTTTTTCGGGTCGCGACGGCCCTGCGGGGCGGTCCTGGAGGCCCCCCCCCTGCGGATCTGCCTCGAGCCAGGAGGGGGAGACGGGTGGTGGTCTAAAACGACGCGAAGATCGGGACAAAATCGGATCGGGATAACTCGAAATCTCTGAGAATCGGCGGGTTTGGAGGATGTATTGGGCGCCGCGGCCGCTCCAGAGCGTTCCGGAACGCTCTGAGAGCGCTCCGGAACGCTCTGGAGCGATTTATCCCGATCCTAGCCCTGTTTCATGGTCTGCAGGGGGGCGGACAAGCGTATGCCGGGCAACTGGCGTGGGAAGTGGGTCGGGCCCATGAGGGGAGGCGCTGCGATGGGTCGGGGGTCGCGAGAAGATGGGCAGGGGGAGGAGGGGTCGGAGATGGACGACGCACGTCGGAGGGAGGCAAAGCGGTGGGGCAGCCCCGATGTGAAAGAGGACAGGCGCCGTGCACGTGAGAGCTTGCGCACCTCTTCCACGTGCATTTCGGTCTGCCACGACTCCGAGCGCCGAAGGGGCGTGCCAATGCGGCCGTGCTCAGCGTGGAGTCAAATGAATGAATGGTGCAATCGTCATCTGATCGAAGCCGCCTACGGCGAATCACCGCCGGCCCTTGCCTTCTGTGAAAAGCGAAAATGTGGCCAACCGTTTGGTTCCAGAGCTGTTATGTTGTCGGGCCAGGTGTTCCCGAGCCGCAGTGGAAACCTTTCGGGGAACACTTGGAGGAGCATGAAGCGGAGGATCAGGAGAGGTAGGAGGATGATGATCAGCAGGATGAGGAGGAGGATGAAGAGGAGGAGGAAGAGGAGAAGGAGGCCTCCTGGGAGCCGCTGGAGCCACTTCTTACTACAGCTAGTAGTCGCATCGTTCTCACACGCCATACGCACGCACCCTCCGGGACGTGCCAGGGCGCGCACCCACTGGACACGTGTAGTACACGCACCCTCTGGAACGTGCTTCGCACGCACCTATTGGGACACATACCTAATACCACACGCGCACCCTTTGGGACGCGCTCCAGCATGCACCTATTGGGCCATGTGTAGCAGTAGTATTCGTAACATGAGTTGTTGGCTCCTTTGGGGCTTCTTGGGGGCCTCCTTGTCCATCGCATGGCGTTTCTGGCTCGTCTGACGTCGTCGGAAGCCGTTTTGGAAACCATCTTGGACCATCTTGGGGGAACTTGGAGGCCTCTTGGGGCCGTCTTGGAGGTTTCTTGGGCCGTCATGACGTCATCTTGGTGGCCTTTGGGGCCATATTAGGGCGATCTTGGGGGCCTCTTGGGCCGTCTTGGGATGTCGGGAAGCCGAAAAGAAGCAAGCGCATGTTTCAAAAAAGAATTACAGAAAACAGAAACAAGTGATTGTCGCCTCTTCGGGCCCTCCTGGAAGGTCATCTCAGAGGCTTCGTGGGCGGACTTGGAGGCATCTGGGACCCTCTCGGGCCCGTCTTGGAGGCCTTCTTGCATCATCTTGGGCGAATGTGAAGGCCATCTTAGCTGTCTTGGAGGCCATCTCTGGACATCTCGTCCGTCTTGGAGGCCATCTTGGAGCCATCTGGAGCAGGAAACACCTTGGGAGCCACCCCGCCCGAAGCCTTCCGGGTGGCCTGCGAGACGGGCCGAAGCACCAGGGGGAGTTCTTTTGGAAAAGAACCGAAACCAAAGGCGGTAGGGTTTAGCACGCCAGGCACCCCCGTGGCAAGACCACAGGTGGCGGCGGATCGAATGGACTTCGGCTCATCCCGCCACCGTGCCTGGGCTGTCTATTGGATGTTCGTTGGTATCTCGTGGGAGGCTTCTTGGAGGCCTCTTGGAGGCAGTTTGAACGCCTCTTGGGGGCCGTTTGGGGGCCTCTTTTGGGCCTCCTGGGCGCCTCTTGGGGCCTGCTGGGGACCTCTTGGGGCGGAAGGCTCGGATTTTCGGTTTGTGTTCCCTCTTTTGAGGCCGTCTTGGGGCCCTCTTGGGCTGATTTGGGTGCCCCTTGAGCTGTCTTGGGGTCCTCTTGGGCCGTTTCGGGGCTTTTTGGAGGCCTCTTGGGGCGGTCTTTGGGGCTTCTAGGGCCGTCCAGGAGCGTTTGGAAGCCGAAAAGGCGCGAACACCCAAACTATTCAAAAACCGAAGGTCAATGTCTGAGTTGGGCCTCCTGGGGTCCTCTTGGGAGGCCTGTTGGAGGCCTCTTTGACCGTCTTGGAGGCCTCTTAGGGCCATCTGGGGGCCATCTGGAGCGAATTGAGGCGATCGCTCGGCCGACGCGAGGCCGTCTGGCGCCTTCTTGGAGGCCTCTTGGGGACCCTCTGCGCCCATCCTGGGGCCCCCCTCGAGGCAAGGAACGGTCACGCGACAAGACGCGACAGGCTCCAGCACGCGCCAAGCCCCGGAGAAGCCGGGAATTCGGGGCCAGGGTCACCTAAAGGACTCCTCAGGAGAGAGGGGATTGAGGCTTAAGGGATTAGGCAAGTGACCTGAGGACGCGCCCACTCCGTGCCCAGCTGCACGGTGGCAGTGGCTCACATCATAGACAAGTTTTTGGGCGACGAGCGGGTTGAGGGCAGAAGTTTAGATGCCGATTTCCATACCATTGTGAATTACGACTTGCATGTCGATAACAATCTGACGTGTCTGCACATGGATGTTCAGGTCGCTTTCCAATTCGATGTGTTTTTCGATCTGCATGCGTATGTACGTTTCGATGTGCATCTCGGGATGCACTTCGATTTGCAATCCGATGTTGATTTCGATCTACATGTGATGCACATCTCGATCATTATTTCGAGGTGCATGCCGCTTTGGCTTTTGATTCGCATGCCGATTTGCATCTCGATTTCAATTTCGAGTTGGATGTTGATTGCATCTGGAGTTGCATGCCATGATAGACGATCGTTTGCATGCTGGTATGAACAACGACGTGCATCATGTTGCGCATGTCAATCACAGTTGTCAGAGTGAGGGGGCCGAACGGTCATTCACTGCCCCTGGGTGCGTGGCTGAAGTAGGATTCCGCGATGCGGATTATTGTTGTCGTTGTTGTTGTTGCTGCTGCTGCTGTGGTTGTTGTTATTGTTGTTGCTGCTATTATTGTTGTTGTTAGTTTGTTGTTGTTGTTGCTTGGCGTCGTCCCCCCCGCGACCTGGTCCGCGACCCACCCCGCGACCCACCCCGCGACCCGCCCACGACACACCCGCGACCCACCCGCGACTCATCCCGCGACCCACCCTCGACCCCCCCGCGACCCACCCGCGACCCATCCGCGAGCCAGCCGCGATCCACCCGCGACCCATTTGCGACCCAGCCGCGACCCACCCGCGACCCACCCGCGACCCACCCCACGACCCACCCACATTTCTTGAATGAACAATCGACGCCTGCTGCGGGCTCGTTGTGCAATTTGTAAAAACTAGCTGGCTGCGGCGGGCTTCTTCAGAGCCTCGCAGACTGCAGAGGTCCCCGCCGCTCCCTCACTCTCCGCGACTGCGGGCTGCTAAATGTTTCCATGCCGAGGTTCATTTCGTTTCGCACGTTTATTTCACTCTCATGTGGTTCGTGCTTGGCATTGGCCACGGGGCAGCCCCGAAAACCCGCGGGGCAACCACGGGGCAATCGCTTGAGGGCCCCCGGGCAACCCCCGGGACAAGTACGGGACTATCCGCGGGACAACCCACGGGACAGCCCCGCGATGGCACCGCGAGACGGACGGCAGACCCCTTTGCGCCAGGCCTGGCACTCCGGCTGCGGCCGACATGTCTTCGCCCCCGCGCGGCCTCGCCTCGCCCGCGCGCGCGGCCCGAGGCCGATGTATCCGTGGGGGCCTCGCGTTTTCGTCCCCCGGCGTCCGATGGCGAGCCAAGACCCCCTCGAGTCATGAAACGATCACGGCGACGGGTTCTTCGCTATTGTTGGCCTTCGGGAGCCCTTACCGGGCCTCGGGACCATCAAACAGCGACGCAGGATGAGCAACCGGTCCTGGGGAATGGGTCGAGACGTCTGGGGGTCGACGCTTTGAAACAATCATGACGTCGGTGGTCCGGGATGGCTCGCGGTTGCGGTGGGCGCTGATCCCAGACGATGACGTTTGCTGCTCGCAGCCCGCGACCAGTGAGCCTCCGCACGCGTCCCGACGACCTCGTCGGAGATGTCCCCCCCGACGGGTCATCGATATGTCTGAGCAGCGTTGCGCTCCACGCTTTTACGTGTGAGCTCTGGTCGCTCGCCTGCTCAACCAGCATCCCGACGAGAATGGGACCCGCTCAGGACATGGAGCCAGCGAGAGGTCATTTCGCCATGCCTCAGTTTCTCACACACGTACATGCACTACGCATATATACATATACAGTTGTAGTTATCAGTATCTCATTTCTCTTTCTCCATTCCACATTGACAGCGTTCATGTTAAACACTACCCTTGTCCTCACCCTCATTCTCACACTATTCCTCTGCGTCTTTATCGTATTATTCTTCCTCTGTATGTTCCTCTAATGCGCATCCCCTTGCTAGCCATTTTGGCCCTGAGACTCTAATATCAAGCCTCGCCCTTTTTTTTCCGCCTGCGGGCGGTCCTCTCCTCTCCTCTCCTCTCTTCTCCTTTCCTCTCCTCTCCTCTCATCCTATCCTCATCTCTCCTCTTCTCTCTCCTCGCCTCTCCTCCTCTCCTCCTCTCCTGTCACCTCCTCTCCCCTTCTCCTCTCCTGTCACCTCCTCTCCCCTTCTCCTCTCCTCCTCTCTTCTTCCTCCTCTCTTATTACTTTTAGTATTGCTGTTATTCATCTTCGTCTTCTTCTTGTGTTTATTACTATTTTTCCTCCTCCTCCTCACCTCCTCCTCCTCGTCCTCCTTGTCCTCCTCCTCCTCCTCCTGCTCCTGCTCCTGCTCCTCCCTCGGCCACGCTCCTCCTCCTTCCCCGCCACCTCACGCCTCCCCCCCGCCCCCCCCACTGCATGCTCGGCCTGGCATCCCTGCTGCCTGCCACGCACCGCAGCGCCAGCAGCCGCGAAGCGCACCCCAGGAGGCCACCAACGGGGCGCGGCTCGCCCGGCGCCGGCACTCGGCAGGCGGTGCGGGCGGCACTGGACAGGGCGCTCAGTGGCCTGAGCCGCCGCAGCGGCGACAGCGGCGACAGCCACGTGGCCTGGACGCCGGACACCCCGCGCTCGCGGCGGTGGCAGGCCACCGTCCTCTGCCGAGCCCTGCGGTCTGGGCTGCCGCCGGGCGCGAAGGCGCCCGCGCGGCCCGCCGCGCTGGCGCTGGAGGGACCTGGCAGCAGCGGGAGCAGCAGCCCCAGCGGTGGCCTGCCGACGCCGCTCGCGGCGCCAGGCGCGAGGGGGGCACCTTCGCCGCCGCCCCGCCCCGTGGCGGAGACAACCCCGGTCGCCAGCGAGCTGGAAGACGCCGCCGCCTGCGGTCCACCCCCGCGCATGCGCCGCGACGAGCGCCGCCGCTCGAGCCTGCTGAGCGTGCCCGAGGTGCCAACGGCCCGGGCGCCCCGGAGCCGCGGGCCCAGCTCGGCGCACCGCCAGCCGCACGGCGTGGCGAGCAGGCTCCAGGACGACGCCGAGGGGGAGCGCGCGGCCCGGTCTGCCTGCGAGCGCCGCGGCCTCCGCGCGCCGTCGTGGCAGGACGTTGGTGCGCTGCCGGGCGCCGTGGACGACGGCGCAGAGTGCGCGGGCGGCGGCCGCACGCCCGCGCGGTGGTGCGGCGCGCTCGGCCGCCCCGAGTCGCAGAGGCCGCCGGTGCCGCCCGCGGCGGCCGTGCAGCCCCGCCTGGGGCGGAAGTACAGCATCACGCTTAGCTGCTCCGATACGCCCGTTTTGAAACGCAGCACGTGCCGCGTTCAAAACGCTCGTGTCAACCCGCTGCGCGTTGGCTCGGCAGCCCACGTTTGGGCGAGCGGTTCGCGCCAGGCTTGTGCGTCTTCGGTTCTGAGTGTTGAGCTGTGTGCCAACACGCCACGGGTTGTGTGTCGCGCATCGGGGCAGCTAAGGTATCACGGTGGCCGACAGCAGCGCCGGCGGCGCGCTGCCACTGGAGCTCGGGCGCTCCCGCGAGGTGGAGACCCCGCCGTCCGAGGGCAGCAGTCGCTCGGGCTCCGACCCGCCGTCGCGGGGCGCCGAGGTCGGCGCGGCAGCGCTCCGGAGGCCTCACCCTCTAGACTCGCCTCCGGCGCGCCCGCCTCTCGGCTCCAGGCGCTTGCCATGAATCACAGAGCGCGTTCCACCACTCGCAAAGTGCCTACTCGCAGTAATCATGGCGTTGCCTAGACGTAATAGATCGTGCATCCCCCGCTGCGGATCCAGGCCATTTGCGAGTAGCTACTTTGCGAGTAGTGGAACGCGCTTGTCGAAGGTAAGCAGGCCCAGATCTCCGACGATGTTTTTGCTTCCAATTACAAGCGCTTATTTTTTCTTTCTCTTCTTCTTCTTCTTCTTCTTCCCGACTTTGGCCTCCAGGGGCCGACATCGGGGCCCGTGGCCATCGAAAATGGATCTGCGGCGAAACACTGTCCCCAGGGAACTGGTCGGGGTCTCCCCGGGGCGCTGATCGGAAAACCGATGCCGTCGGGCGTCTGGGAGCGGGTCCTGTGGGGAAGGGGTGCTGCGGTTTCGCCGCTCTCGGCCTCCCCGGGCCCGGACAGGACCCCCATGGGGCTGCTACAGAGAGACTCGGCACGAAAAGCCGGCCCCGGGGGAAGGCCCTGCCAGGACCCGCTTCCCTCACGATATGCCCGCTCCTTCATGCGGCAAAGGTGCGCCGACGGATCCCCCCGGGACTTTGTTCGGAAGCTGCAGCAGAAGCTGGAGCGCGAGGCGCTGCTGCGGGGCCGGGCGTCAGGCGACGCCTGCGAGCCCCCGCACGCTGACGGGGGCACCCGGGTGGCGACCGCCTGCGCCGAGGGGGACGCCGCGGGCTCCGACTCGGAGAGCCACGCGGTGGACCTGCTGCTGGGCGTGCTGGCTCCGGACTGCGTGGACGTGCCGCTGCCCTCGCCGGTGATGATGTCGCCGAGGAACTCGTCCTCGGCGCAGACGTCCCGGGTGGCCTCCCGGAACCGCTCCCGGGACACCTCGCAGAACATCACCCCCGGCCGCTCGCCGCGCGACGCCCAGGCGCACGGGCCCGAGCCCACGGGGCGGGACAGCCTGACCTTCTCCAGCATGACCTTCTCCCACAGCTCCGCGTCGCCGCCCGCGGCCTCGTCCCGGCCATCCTTCGCCTCATCTCGGCCATCCTTCGCGGCGTCCCTCATCGGCTCGTCGCGGCCGTCGCTCTGCATGGCCACCATGGCCGCCTGCGGATCCTCGCGCCCGTCGCTGGGCGCCGCAGGCTGCATCTCCTCGCGCCCGTCGCTGAACGCGGGCGGCGTCTCGACTCGCCCGTCCCTGAACGCGGGGGCGTCGTCGAGGCCGTCGCTGAATGCGAGCGGCAGCTGCTCCTCGAGGCCCTCCCTCAGCGCCGCGCTGTCGCAGATCGGCTCCGCGAGGCCGTCGTTCAACGCCACCGGCAGCGGCTCGTCTCGGCCGTCCCTCGCCGCCGCCCTCTCCGCGGCCAGCTCGCCGAGGCCGTCCCTGCTCGGGGCGCAGGGGGAGATGCTCTGCCTGGAGGCGCGGGCAGTTCCCAAGAGAGGTCACCACCCGGGGGGTCACCCGCTGCTCCCGAGGATCAAGGCTCCCGGGGGGTCGAGGCCCGAGCAGGCTTTTGGGCGCTGGGGGTCGTTTCGGGGGGGCTCTGCAGAGTGTCTCTATAGGGGGGCAAGAAGCAGCATGTAGGTGTAGGGGGTATGCTTCATGCAATGTATGGTTCCTCTAGTTCTGGGGGGGGGGGGGCGTCTCCGGGCGATCGGATGCGGCCCGATGCTTGCATGGCGCTGTGGTGCATCCTGGCGCCGCCGAGTCGATTCGATTCCACGCCCAGAGGAGGACTTCAAGGCCGGCGAGACGCTCGGGGCGGGCAGCTACGGCCGCGTGTTCGCGGCCCAGCACCGCCGCACCGGGCAGGTCGTCGCCGTGAAGGACTAGCACGCTCAGGGGCAGCGACTAGGGAGGGATAGGCTCAGGGGGGAACGCATCGAGCCCACAACGCTCATCCATCGCCGATAAGGGGCCCGGTAGCTTGCCCCGCCCTGGACCTTGCAGATTCTCTTTCGGGGGCCTATCGCCGATCTATCGGCGATGTATCGCCGATTCGAGCTCGATGATCCCCCCTCCGAGCTAGTCCGCGCCGAACGTTGCCCTTCAAGCAAGCAGAGGCAACGCCAGAGTGGGGGGGGAGGGCTGGCCACGGGGGGGGGGGAGCATCGACCCCTTCATTGTCCATTCCGTGAAGAGTCACGAAGGAGGGACCCTCGCCAGGCCCTGGGACGATAAGAAAACGACCCGGCATGGAGCACTGCCCCCCGGGGAGGGGTCCAGATTAGACCTCTGGGGGGGCCCACGCTGCGGCAGAGTCACGACGCCGGGGGTCTGGGAACGGAGCCATGGGACACCCACCGCCGCCCGAGGAGCGCGGGTCTCGCTATCGGGGGCCCATCGCCGATCGATGGGCTCGTGCCTTGCCGATGCCAGGGAAGTGCTCCCCCCGCCCCGGCCCCCCCTGGCTGTACGTCGCCCGCCCTTTCCAGGAGGTCTTCTTCCAGCCGCCCCAGGCGGCGGAGGCGCCCCCGAGCGAGCTCAGGGCGCTCGAGCGGGAGCTGGCCCTCTGCGAGCGGCTGAGACACCACCGCATCGTGCGCTTCCTCGGGCACGAGATCGGCCCTACTCTCAGATGATGCAAACACGCGGGGGGCGTTCTGTCCGTTGGTTCCAGATCGACGCTTTTCCCGTTCGAGGGTCAGTTTTCCCGTTTGGGGATTTTCGTTCGCGCCGTTTCCGATGTGGTTGCAATGTGCACGGTTTTTTGTATATATATATATATATATATATCGGTATTCCGAGAACCGAACTGTTGAGAACGGGGAACAACAGCATCCCCAGCGTCTTCAACATCAACTGAGGCCCTGCGCCTGGCGACCACGTCGAGCGCCTGCTGATCTTCCTGGAGTTCTGCCCTGGCGGCAGCGTGGCGTCGCACCTGCGCACGTATGGGCCCCTGGCGGCCCCGGTGGTGGCGCGCTACGCGCACCAGCTGCTCGAGGGCCTGTGCTACCTCCACTCGCGGAGCCCGCCGGTGGCCTTCAGTAGCAAGTCAAAGGAGCCTCAGAGGCGACGCTAGGGGCGAACAGCCCAGGGGAGAGCAATGCATGGCGAATACGTGTAATGCCCGCCCCTGGGCTTCGTCGCCGCCGAGCGAGCTTTGCGCGTCCTCGAGATGTGTTCGGCTCCCGACGGTTGGGCCTCCCTCCTCCTCCAGCCTCCGCGGCCGCCCTCTTCTGCTCTGCCCGTGCGTCAGTGCCCCGCGCCCGGCGCCCCGCCGGTACCGGCCCGCGCGCCTGCGCCCGCTGGCGCTGCCGATGAAAAAAGTGCGCCCTCGAAATCATGATTTTTGGAGTGCGCCGGCGTGCGCCAGCGTCTGGTAAGCCATGAGAGTGCGCAGGTTTTGCGCCGAGCCAACGCCGATTGGTGTCGGCTGGCGTCGATTCGCGTCGGTGATCGCCGATTCGCAGGAGCAAGCAAGATGGCACAGGAGGCTCTCACGATTAGCGGCGAGCCCAGGGGGGAGGTGAGAAGGTCGGGCCTTTTCAAAAGGCTCGGAAGGCCTTCTGAGAATTTGTCCAACCTTTCTCAGAAGGCATAGAAAAATTGTCAGAAGGCCGGAGGGCTTCTGAAAATTCCATCGCCTCTCACTTTCCCCCCCGGGCGCGCCGCTGACATGAGTTGCCGCCGAAGGTGGCGCACCGGGACCTCAAGTGCGCCAATCTGCTGCTGACGCACGACGCGAACGTGAAGATCGCCGACTTCGGGTGCTCCAAGTGGCTGACCGAGGGCAGCGGGGCTCCGGAAAGGGGGAAGGACGCCCAAGGGGTAATCATATATACACACACAAAGAAACGCAGCTTATTTTGCTTCGAGTGATCCCCACCGAAGTTTCCGGCGTTTGTTCCCGACGGTGCGCGCGCCTGCTGGAACGATGCGCGCGGGGCCCAGTGGTCTGAGCCAGCGCGTCGGCCGGGCCAGGTCGCAAGTTGCCGTTGTCCTAAGATCTAGCAGCCCCAAGGGCCCCAGACGAATGAAACAGAAACAAGTCCCGGGGCGAGAAGCACCCGAAAACGCTTGGTGCGAGACCCCATAGCTTGTTCGGAGAGAGTATGCAGCCTGTTGAAATGAGGATGAACAGCAGCAGCAGCAGGAGGCGGAGCCGGAGTTCGTATTAACTGTTGTTATTTCTCATGTTAAGGTATGTTTTATCATGCTCACCTCTGTCGCAGTCTGCTTTGATATGTTATGCTCTGCTCTGCTTTGTGGCACCATGATATGGCATGACATGTCATGTGTTGCCAAGCTATTCTAATCTGGTCTGTTCAGTGATGATGTTTCCGTTGTAATGATCTGCCCAGCTATGCTGTGATGGGTTCTGCCATGTAGTGGTATTCATAGTGCAACTTGTCGTTGCTGTATGCAGCAGTACTCAGCTATGCTCCACCTTGTAGTGCTAGAGTGTCCTGTTCTGCTCTCGGCGGGCAGGCGTGACGTCGTGGCGCCTGTCACGTTGGATACGTCGCCACTCGGTCGGTGCTGCGCCTGTTGGTTCCTGTGGTCGGCCTGACCTCGGCGCGCACGTCGCTCTTGAATATGCGAGAGTACCATACTTTGTGATGTGATGGTCCTCTTCACGTATGCCTTGCTCTGTTCCTGTTAACGTATGTTCTGTTGTGCCTGCCAGGCTATGTTGTAATCTGCTCGGTCCAGTGATGCTGTCGACGGTATGCTCAGTTCCGTATCTGTCGTGACGCTCCTCTTCAATACGGTCGTTGCTGTATTCAAAAGGATTCAATTGTGGTTCATGTAGCAATGTTCTATGGTGTTTTGCTCTAGGATGTCCTAATATGTTCTCGACGGGCAGGCGTGACGTCGTGACGCCTGTCGTCTTGGATACGTCTTCCAATCAGTCGTTGCTGCACCTGTTGGTTCCTGTGGCCACCCTGTCCTCGGCGCGCACGCCGCGTTTGAATGTATGACAGTATGGTACGTAATGATGTCATGTTCCTCTTCACTTATGTCTCCTTCTCCTGTTGAGGTATGCTTTGCCATGCTCACATCTTTCACAGTATGCTGTGAGATGTTATGCGGTGCTCTGCTGTGTGGAATCATGTTGTCGCAGGATGTGTTATGGCAGCTTATGTTGTGTGATGCTCTGTTCAGCCATCCGGCTTACGCGATCATCAGATCAGCATCGTATGTTATGATTGTTCTTTGTTATGGCGCACCACTTATCAGAAGCCCCTTCTATAATGTGCTACTTGAGGTCGCAGTGGCAGTAACAGTACAGCCGTTATGTTATGATGTTACGGTTGCTAAGTGCGATTTGCGTTATACGGTGGTGTGTTATGACATGTCGTTATAGTATGTTGCGTACCCATGTTGTTTTCTAGCCAGACTGTAATGCTACATTGCACCCGTTGCCGTCGCGATAGCAACAGTAAAACACGTACGGGATGGTATGGTATGATCTGTCATGTTGTTCTCTCGGATGCTCCTCTATGTAATCGTATGCGTTGCCATGTTACGTAGTGTGCGGCGATGCTGCGTTCCGTCATGCTTTGTTCCGTCATGGCATGTAACGGCGTGGTCTGTTCTGCTACGCTATGTATTGCTATCGAATGCTGCTCAATTTTGTCATTCGATACTTTTGAGATGTTGTTGAATGTGATGATCTATATGTTCTTGTATGATGTGGTCTGTATGGTATGGTGTGCGGTGTTCTGCTATGTTATGCCTGGTCCGCTCTGTC